TTATGTCATATCAGTTCTGCGGAAGCCGGGCATATACATACGTTGAACATGTTTATTTTTAGCTCGATATTGGTAAATGTGTTTGAGCAGTTCCGGGCTGACAATAATGATCTAACTTCTCTTCACCTCCGTGTTTCCAATTTATGTATATTGTTTTCAACGTGCTAGACCTTTTCTATTCTCTTATCGCCTCTGCTCTTACCGCCCATTCTGGTCGCTGTCACTCGCCCCGGATCCTTGCCCCCGTCCCTTGCGTGTGGGGCTGATCTTGCTGTTTTCAGTCCTCTGCATTTAAATTGTGTGTGTGTGTGTGTGTGTGTGTGTGTGTGTGTGTGTGTGTGTGTGTGTGTGTGTGTGTGTGTGTGTGTGTGTGTGTGTGTGTGTGTGTGTGTGTGTGTCTGTGTGTGTGTGTGTGTGTCTGTGTGCGTGTGTCTGTGTGCGTGTGCCTGTGTGTGTGTGTTTGTTTTGCTCACAGTAGGCATTGTCTGGAATGGCTTGTGCATTGTTGACAGCCGCGAGGGACATGGGAGCCTTAATGCTGACGAGCATGCTTGGCAGCGGGTCACTCGGCTCGGCGGACATCGTGTCTCAGCAATAAGGACTGAAGCGTTCGCTAACAATAAGGGTTTCATGCTGTGTTTCAAGTGTCTTTCATACGTAGGCTATGATGATGTTAGTATATTTATTCCTGTGCATCCCTCCTACAAGTTTTCTTTGTTTATGTTTACTCCAGTCGTAAGTTTTTTTTCTCTTTCTTCGATCTGCCACGCCTCTCTCTCCAGAAGCCCATCTCCTCTCTCTCTCTCTCTCTCTCCTCTCTCTCTCTCCCTCTCTCCTCTCTCTCTCTCTTCTCTCTCTCTCTCTCTCTTCTCTCTCTCTCTTCTCTCTCTCTCCTCTCTCTCCTCTCTCTCCCTCTCTCTCTCTCTCTCTCTCTCTCTCTCCCTCTCTCTCTCTCTCTCCTCTCCCTCTCTCTCCTCCTCTCCCTCCCCCTCTCTCTCTCTCTCTCCCCTCCTCTCCTCTCTCTCCCCTCTCCTCTCCTCCCTTCCCCTCTCCTCTCCTCCCTCCTCTCTCTCTCCCCTCCTCTCTCTCTCTCTCCCCCTCTCTCCCCTCCCTCTCCCCTCTCTCTCTCTCCTCTCCTCTCTCTCTCCTCCCCCTCTCTCTCTCTCCTCTTCCTCTCTTCTCTCTCCTCCTCTCCCCCTCTCTCTCTCCTCGTCTCTCTCCCTCTCCCTCCCTCTCTCTCTCTCTCCTCTCTCTCCTCTCTCTCTCTCTCTCTCTCTTCTCTCTCTCTCTCTCTCTCTCTCTCTCTCTCTCTCTCTCCTGTCCCCTCCCCCTCCCAATCCTTCCCTACCCTCGTCTTCTATGTGTTTGTGTGTATTCATGTTCGCATATGTGTATGTGTGTGCGTGTTATTTTAGAAATGTAAATTATCCATGTCACGGCAACGAGTTTATTCCGAGCGCGGTGAAACTCGTTGGCGTCGCCTGCGGGAAGGGAGTGTTATTTTATTCCCGGTTTTCGCAAGCAAATATTATTTCCTTGTGGTAATGAACAAGAGACCCCGAACATTTTTTCCCTGTGGTTTACCTCGGGTCGGCGCCTCACGGTCACGCCGAGGGCCAGACTGTGCTGTGTGTGTGTATATGCTCGTGTGCGGTTAAGAACTTAGCTATGTGCAGTTTCCTGGCGAAAGACAATGCATCAATTATAGACTTTGGAGAGAAACTTTTTAGAAGTCTGTATTTTGTCTTTACAAAGAAAAATATAAAAGATGTAAAACGGTTTGTTCCACGCTGGTCATTCAGATTGTTTTGACAATAACCAATAAACTGGTAAAAGTAAGTGATCCTTCAGCCGTTCACCCAAGCATTCATTGTGTTGATACCAGGAGCCCTTCTACAGCGCTATATCTCTGACACCCGCGTGAGATGCATGAATGGCAGCCGGTGGACTGACCGACGGTAGGCTTAAACATCTTGGCCTGAATAGTCCTGAGACGCAGTTGAACTTCAGGCAGGAGGGAAGGAGTGAGAGCCTGATCCTGACCCTCCGTGACCTGTCATGACCCCGAAATCGATCATTCAGCATCAACGCCTCGCACCAAGGGATATATTATATATATATATATATATATATATATATATATATATATATATATATATATATATATATATATTTGTCCGCGGAACAGCAATGGGCGGTTTAACTGGTGCGTGTCGTCTGGCTGGCACGGGGGTTCGTGTCCGCACGACGGTTGAATTGTGTACGTTTGTGTTGTGGGAAAGGGTTGATGTCACTCGCAGTCATGGGAGTGACGAGAGTAAATTCTGATGTTATCAAGATAAGTTGGAGATAAGAATGAGTGATAGTGCCATGCCCCAGAGTGAGTTGGGCGGGGGCTGAGGGTAGAGGAAGAGAGCTTGGTTGTAATCAGCAATGAAGGAGAGGAAGAGGTGGGGTGTGGCGGCGGGGCGCGCACGTGGTACCAGCGGGTGACCCGTGCCGGCTTGGTGTTTGCTCCTCTTTGTTTGTTGCTTCGCTTTGCTTTAGGTGTGTAGTTTCGTTTAATGGCTTGAGTGCTCTTGGAAAATCCCTTTTCATTATTGAGAATTTGGCGGCTTTTCCTTGTCCAAATCCGTTCGGTGTGGTTGAGATTCCGCCCGACCTTTTGATGGACCCGGAATTGACTCCTTGAAGTTGCATGTCCGGGATGATGCCTTGTTCTTGCGTGTGCGGGCGAGTATGCCGAGTGTGTTGGTTGCAGATATTGCGTGAGCCACTCCGGTGATAGCGGTGCTGACGTCACGATGACAGGTCCACATCGCATCACGCACGGCTCCTGCATGTCCCTTCTGAGCGCCTCCCCGACGTTCGTCGCTACTCCTTTGCGACGTTGCTTGGGCAAGGGAATAGAGGGCCTCGGCGAAGCGAAGACGGCGGGCGTTAGACACTACGTGGCAAATCACGGAGTGAGGGAAAGGAATGGAGAAGAACAAGGAAGAAAATAAAGCGGAGGAGGAGGAGAGATGAATTACAAGGATACGGAGAAAGGGAAGAAAAAGTTGATTGGGCGTGCGAGTTATTTGGGGCAACGTGACGTAAACCTTGCTCAATTTACCCGCTCGCACTAGTGTGAGATCTTCGCTAAGTAAAGGGAAGATCACGTTTCTCGCTCCCGCCTTTGAGTTTGAGAACTTCTTTATATTTCCTGGACTGCCGATGGATTCCCTTTTTGTGCAAGCATGTGCAGACTACTGGGTGAGCGCTCGCTTGGGAGAGGCCGTAACCAGGACCTGCGGACGAGTGCTCATGGGCATGCATTGAGTGGACGTGGGCGAAATAAAGGGCAAGATCCCGTGAGTGTAATGTAAATATTTATAGCTTTACATATCGCTTCCTAATCACTCAAGGCGGCCTCTTATCGCCCAGGTGCTGCTCCTTCACTTACCCTCTCGCATTCCTTCCGGCCTAGCCGATACCTCCGACACCTGTGCCTCGGTCCTTGGCCCAGGCCGTCTCAGTCGTCACTCAGCAGTCATATATCTGTCTGTTTGTCACTCGGTCTCTCTCTCTCTTTCCTCTCTCTCTCCCTCTCTCCCCCTTTCCTCTCTCTCCCTCTCTCCCCCTTTCCTCTCTCTCCTCTCTCTCCTTTCCCTCTCTTTCCTCTCTCTCTCCCTTTCTCTCCCCTTTCCCCTCTTCTTCCCTTTCCCCTCTCTCTCCCTTTCCCCCTCTCTCCTCTCTCTCTCTCCTCTCTCTCTCTCTCTCTCTCCTCTCTCTCTCTCCTCTCTCTCTCTCTCTTCTCTCTCTCTCTCTCTCTCTCTCTCTCTCTCTCTCTCTCTCTCTCTCTCTCTCTCTCTCTCTCTCTCTCTCTCTCTCTCACTCTCTCCTATTTTCATTTCTATTTATCTCTTTCTTTCGGTCTTTATCTTTTTTCCACTGCACCCACGTTGCCTTTAGATTACTTATCTCACCCCCGTCCCCTAACATTAGTCCGCTTCATCTATCATCACTGGCAAGTCTCTGGTGGTTTTTATAAGGAGCTTGACGAGGGATCACTTTGCAGTATCGGGTCTTGATTTAGTGAGCTTGCTGGTTTCGGATTTCGGGTTTTCGGTCTCGGGTTTCGTTCAGCGCATCTTGAGCGGCGCTGTGGCATCTGCGTTACTGGCTGCGAGGTGGTTTCTCTGGCTTACGTCATGTCGTGTTTACTGATTGATGTCGAGGATTCCGTTGTCTTTATATGTGTGTGAGAGATTCTTATTTATAGCGGGATTCCTTTCGCTTTATTTGTGTGCTGTTTTGGAGGCCTTGTCGCTTATTCATGACGTTGTGTTTGTGTGTGAGTCTAGAGTCTAGAAAGGTTTCTCTCTCTCTCTCTCTCTCTCTCTCTCTCTCTCTCTCTCTCTCTCTCTCTCTCTCTCTCTCTCTCTCTCTCTCTTCTCTCTCTCTCTCTCTCTCTCTCTCTCTCTTTCTTCTGTCTCTCTCTGTCTCCTCTCTCTCTGTCTGTCTCTCTCTCTGTCTGTCTGTCCTCTCTCTCTCTCTCTCTCTCCCTCTCTCCCTCTCCTCTCTTCTCCTCTCTCTCTTCTCTCTCTCTCTCTCTCTCTCTCTCTTCTCTCTATCTCTCTCTCCTCTCTCTCTCTTCTCCTCTATCTCTCTCTCTCCCTCTCTCTCTCTCTCTATCTCTCCTCTCTCTTCTCTTCTTCTCTCATTCTTCTCTCCTCTCCTCTCTTCTCTCTCCATCCCTCTCTCTCTTTCTCTTCTCTTCTCCATCTCTCTCTCTCTCTCTCAAGCCTCTCTCTCTCTCTCCTCGTATTCTTCTCCTCCTCTTCTCTCTCGTCTCTCTCTTCCATTCTCGCTCCTCTCAGCTCTCGTCTCTCCTCGTCATCTCTCTCAGTCTCTACTCTCTCTCTCTCTGATCTGGTCTCTGTTCTGTCTCTGTCCTCTCTCCTCTCTCCCCTCTCTCCTCCTCTCTCTTCTCTCCTGTGTTCTCTCATGTCTCCCTC